TGCTGGTCATACGTGTGTAAAAAGCTAAAATATAACCATCTAAGTTTGCAGCAACCCTATACTGAAATCACGTAACGAGAGTCAAAAAGCAAACACTCCAGCAGTTGCTGACTTGGCAGCAATGCCTCCTGCTGAGCACATGTGTGGTGACAGTGGGAAGCAAGCAGAAAGTTTGTATGCGTGTGAAAACGGGTGCTACTACCTCACCAATTCCATAGATGGAGATGAGAAAAGCCTCATTAAAGTTATCTTAACTTTTATTTCTGTGAGAAATAATTTCTTAATATGAACTTTATTATTTCGGCAGGGCGAATTGCCAATTAAATCAGTTAACTAATGTTATTAAATCTCTTTCTTCTCCAGAGCTATATTTAAGAAAATATTTAAATATTTCTTTGGAAGCGTTGCTAACCATGAATCCTCTAGTTCATTACACTTAAATGAATGCTTAATTATTTTTTTATGTCCTCCATATACCTCAGCGGATCACATCATGGTTGTAAAAACAATCTCTCTACCTTTACTTGTTTTTTTGGACCCTCTGCTCTTATTAATCTGAAAGGATCTCATCTGTGTCCTAAATTTCACCAAAAGCTTCTCCACTCTGTCCAGGGAGAGACGATGAACCACCAAACTAGAAGGTTTTGAAAAACAACTTTGCAGGAGAGTTTGTATGCATGCAAGCAGGTGGGGTTTTACCACTGCCAGAGATGGCAAAAGTACTCACTTTCCATACTTGAGTAAAAGTACAGATACTTGTGTTAAAAAATACTCTGGTAAAAGTGGAAGTACTGATTAAACTTCTTTACTCAAGTAAAAGTAACAAAGTACAGGCTTGTAAATTTACTTAAAGTATAAAAGTAAAAGTAGAAACCACTTTTTTCATGCCGTTGCCTACATTTTAAATGGATGTCTGCCAATAGGACTAGATCTCCGTTGTGTTCATTTTCAATCATCTCGTCGTCCATGCTACTATGCTAACGCCACCGCCACCAAGCTGCAATGATTTGCCGCCAATGAATACCGCCGAATCTGTCGATTCATCTTGTAGTGGTGCGTCAAATGCAACGTAGATTCCCATCCAATTAGATTGAATTTGGTATTGATGACGTGAAAAATAATAACGGTAACTCCATTGAAATGATTCAAAACTAAAGTAACGAGCCAATTTTTTAAAATGTAAGGAGTAGAAAGTACAGATATTTGTGTAAAAATGTAAGGAGTAGAAGTAAAAAGTCGCCATAAAAATAAGTAGTAAAGTAAAAATATCAGAAAAATCTACTTAACGAAGTATTCGTACTTCGTTACTTCCCATCTCTGACCACTAGGCAATACTAGGCAGTTACCTTGGGCCGCAAGTAAAACTCTGTTTACATGTATAGTTAATACAACTATCCCTATTGTGTGCATTAGTTATGGTTTTTATAAAAATCATTTTGCTAAAATGCCATCAGAACCCTTTGAAAACAAACGATGCACAGACAACTTAGCGCTTTAGTCGCTATATTTAGCCACTTTTCAGACCCCTCTAGCACTTTGATTTCTAAAAAGCTCCTAGCGCCAAATCTAGCTTCTTTTTTCTGCTACTGGAGACTTTGGAGCCAACATCTAAAAGCAGCGAACTCTGCTCTCCAGAGCGAGTAGATTGGTAACCCCGCCTCCTGCTCTCCTCTATCTTGTCTGCTGTCATGATTCATGCAGCTATTATTTCATCCAAATGAAAAATGGAGAACAGATAAGCAGATCATGGCTTGTCTACAGTGAAAAGAAGGACTGGGTTATTTACTTTGGCCTTTTTGGAAACACAGGAAGGAGCAATCAGCTAAGTGAGCTTAGTGCTTGGAAAAAATCTTTCATTCCTTTAGAGACAGCATGAAAAGTCAGCTGAGTACAAAACATAGAGAGGAAAACAAGAAGAAAAGGGACAAGAAGAGAGGGACACAACCTAGAACAGATAATGGATGTCTATTCTATTAACATTTCTCTATCTGTCTTTGCCTAGGGCCCCAAATTCCCTGAATCCGCCCCTGCGTGCGAGAGCTGCTGCTCTATAAGCTTTACTGTTGACATTGTGATGAAATAGTGTTTGTTTGGACGGGAGCAGTTAAATTCAAATTCACTCAAAAGCAGGTTTTGTTTCAGTCATTTGATTCAAGAGGAACTCAGATGAAGAACACAGGAGCAGCAGGTAAGTAAAGCAAACAGGACACGCCTCAGCGTGACCTTAAACAACCTCATAAGATAGAACGGCAAACAGGGATGTGTGCTCCGACACGATCTGAGCCCACACATCCATACGTCGCTGAGAATATAGGCGTGTCGCTGCTGCGGGACTTCTGGCTACATGGAAGGAAACGCGGCGCCGGCGTCTGTGAGCCCAAAAGGAAGCAGGAGCACAAAACAGGAGAGGGGCAAAGGGGATGTAGATGAAGTTTATAAAAACAAAAAAATAAAAGCCTAAAGAAAAAGAAGAAAGTTTCATTGTGAAGCCAGAGTTCAATGTGTCCCCTCTGGGTTACCATAAAGCTTTACACATTACGCTCCTCAGACAGAAACAAACTGATGAATATTTAATTATTAAACAGTGATGCTCTGTTAAAAGCGTCTTTATTTAAAAGTCTGTTTGGTTTTAAAATAAAACATCTCACTGAAGTGTTAATTTATTTTTAGTTTCTCTGTACGTTTGTGGCCACAAACTTTACAGCATTTCATTTGGATTGCATCTCTGATGGGATTATCTCAGGGAGAGAATGTGCTTCTCCACCACATGTGGATAAAAGGTTTGGATTCCCTCGTTATCATCCAGTCATGCTGCGCTACAGAGCTCCTGCTAAACAGCTGCTGGTTTTATTCAGGGCATTGATAAGCAGTTCTAACCAGGAGCCAACAGGGGCCGCCACTGAGTGCATCGGAGAAGGGATATAGGTGAAAGCTGCAGGGCTGTAGATCTAGCCCACTAAAATAGTTTTTTTTATGCCGATACCAATAATGTTAACATCAGCCTAACTGATGCCCTTTTTCTTCCTTTATTTGTAAATATAATAAAATGATAAAAAAAAAATGTTACACTCAAGTCAAAAAAAAAAAAAAAATGTTTTAGCAAATTAAACCGTATATCAAAGGAAAAGTTCGGTCAGCAAGGAATAATCAATGGATCGTTATCTATACCTACAACTAATATGTTCGCTGTGATTTAATGAATTTAGCTTTATTTATTAAAAAAACAATCATTTTCATTGCGATCACCGAGTCCAGGAGCAGCCATTTTTGCCCAAATATAGTAACTCCTCCCTCCCGACAGTCTGCTCATATTTAAAATTCAAACTCCTGAAAGTAATTTAAATATTAAATTATTCCATCCTGTTCAATAAATGATCAGTGTTTTTAATTCAGAGTAATTTTCATTAGAAAATGCTTTAATGGAGGCATCCATGTTTGTCAAAGAACACTACTGCCACCTACTGGTT